ATACTCCGGTTATTGACTCGCTTCGATTGAGAAATCTGGGACGTGATTAGATTTGCTTGCTATCTCTGTTATCGACTATACAGGTTAGAAGACAATTTAAGACAATTTAAGATAATTTTAAGATAATTCAAGATAATTGTAAAATAATTTCAGATAATTCATTACAAATTTTTACCTATAAATTCATAATTATATTCATTTATATTGCCCAGTTAGGTTTCGTTTACCTTTTAAAATAATTTTAACAACGTCCTCGATAAACGAATCGATATTTTCTTCTCCGTCGAATTTTACCAGTTAAGTGACGTGAATATATTACTAAAAACAAAGTCTTTCAAGACAACTTTAATTATTCCCAATGGAACTTCACACCCCATGATACAATCGTTCCATTAAAGGTACCGCTGATTAATCAAAGGATTAGAGCAAGAAGCTATTAAGTCGTAGCTCGTTTTTGTTCTTCCCCTTTGGAAATCTGTCCTAGAGTCCGTATCGAATGTATAACAAGAATAATCGTGTAGAGAACGCCGTTCGCAATTAACGTTCACGAATGATGCACGAGGTGGTCCACGATGACAAATCACGCTGGAGCATTTAACGTCGAGATTTCTAGCGGCTGAAGATCGTGAAGAATCGCTACCGAGGCTGGATAACCGGTACCGTGAGATTCGAGATGGCTGCTCTTTCTATCTTTCGCTGGCTACCTCTGATGGAAATATTGGGAAACGGGAATTAACGAGCGGGGAAATCAAGGGACTGAGCAAGATTCGTCCAGCTAAAGTAACAGCTAGAAAATCAGTTTTATTATTGTTACTTGTATAAAGTATCACTTATACAATTTAAATGCTATTACTTATAGAGTGCAAGTACTGTCACTTAGTGCATAATGAAAATATCATGAACTTGTATAAAATTCAAATGTCACTTATGCAATTCAAGTGCTATCACTTATAGAGTGCAACTACAGTCACTTAGTGCATAATGAAAATATCATGAAGTCAGTATGCAATTTTCTTTGAAACTGTATACACAGTAACGTATGTATATTGCATACAGAGTAACGTATGTGTATTACATACACAGTAACGTATGTGTACTGTATACACAGTAAAGTTTAAGAGAATCGTTTAGAGAATCACACTTCAGGTAACAATGAGTTCTCTCAAGCAAGACTCTTTCTTCAGAAATGGAAAACAATCAAATCGTCACGCTTAGAAAGATAGCCAGGTCTAATTAAGCCATTCAGTCCTCCATATGATCATTCAGGCGAGAACCGTAGTGTGACCCACTTTCTGAAATCTTCACGCGTTTATCTATGCAAATTTGCTTTGTCCTTCGGCAAGATATATTACCGTAATCTTTCCGTAAATTTTGCGTTAACGTCCCGAATGGTTTTTTCTCGATGAAAGTTCACCTTTTGCCTGGAGACACCTTTTTGTCGACGTATCGTAACCCTTTGATTTACATAGGATTAATATTGCCGTTAATATTACCGTTAATATTGCCACGTGTTGATTTTTTACTCTGTAAAAATTGTTGAGAATAGTTACGCAATGAAATAGTTATGCCGTTTCGCATAATTCCATAGAACTGCAACGTTGGATAACAGGAATCGATGAATATTTATACGAGAAATAACTTGCGCTTTTTATTGATACAGGTTTCGATACGCGGAAATATTCTTTGCCAGATTTGTTCTGCGAATTTCTTGCAAATTGCGAACCACTGGCTGTGTATTTACAGTTGCGAATCTACAAGCCATGACAGTCTGGCGTGTCTGCGAAGGAAATGATTTAGGTGCTAGATTAAGTCGTGCAGCCTTGGAAAAAAAAGTTTACAACACTCAGTCATCGTTCAGACTTCGTTGAATTTTCGGTAGTTCATTTTGAGGTTAGTCCATCGTTCGATTAATTGACAGAAGCGTACACAAACTAGATTTATGTCTAATTAAAATAATTTCGGAAGATTAATTAAAACAGGCCTTTGAAAAATCGATCAAGCAATCGAAGAAAAATAAGCTTCAGCATCCAGGCTGGTGCTTTCTAAGAGAAAGGTGTTAAGTATGGACATTCATATTCACCGTTTAACGATGCCGTGAAAATACGACAACGAGGGTAGCCATCGATGCCATAAATTTTCGCGACGGTGTGGAAAGTGGTCGATCGATGCTTGGAATTCCTCGACGCCTTTTTATCGCAGATCATCGATATGCAATACGATAGCTAAGTTTCTCCGGTTATTTCCTTAGTGTCGGTCCATAACTTTGCACTGCTGATAACTGATAATGAGGTGGTAAATATTTGACGAAAGTCGATTTATCTTTTTGTGCAGATGTGTTCGAGTCAATTCGTAATCATTGAATTTTTTGGATTTAAACTGAGAAATGTTCATCAACTTCATCAAACAGTCATTTTGAACAAGGTTCATCAAACAATCCTTTTGAATAAACTTCATCAAACAATCCTTTTGAATAAACTTCATCAAACAGTCATTTTGAACAAGGTTCATCAAACAGTCATTTTGAACAAGGTTCATCAAACAGTCATTTTGAACAAGGTTCATCAAACAGTCATTTTGAACAAGGTTCATTAAACAGTCATTTTGAACAAGGTTCATTAAACGTCACTTTGAACAAGGTTCATCAAACAGTCATTTTAAACAAGGTTCATCAGACAAACCTTTTGAACAAGGTTCATCAAACAGTCATTTTGAACAAGTTTCAATTCAAACAATCATTTTGAACAAGGTTCATCAAACAATCCTTTTGAATAAACTTCATCAAACAGTCATTTTGAACAAGCTCATCAAACAATTTAAAAAAAATACAGAAATAAACCCGTCACAATAGAAAATTTGAACAAAATACTCTGTAATGAACGAATAAATTAAAATCCTAAAATTGAGCTAAATGAACTAATCCATAATGAATTAAAATTTTGAGCCTAGCTTCAGAGATGATTCAGCATATAATCTGCAATTTTTATCAAACGTAAAAGGATGTATTATGCATACCTGGGTGATAAGTCGGCCAGAAATTGTCGAGGATATTTATTTTCCGTACACGGCGATAAGAAATTGACGACACGATAAGAGGTAACGTTGTGGGTCGACCTCGTTGACGTCGGCTCGAGCCTCTCGGTGAAGAGGCAGTCTCGCCGACACTCTAGACGCGCAAAAGTGAAATTCGCGGGTAATTGGACGAACAATTACGATCGTGATCGTGCCGTTGTCTACTCTTTCATTAGATGAAAAAGCCGTCGCATATTCATACGCGATGTCACCCGGTCAGCACGAGAACATCGAGTCCTGTCCGGAAGAACGGGACAATGGATCGTCCTGGTTCTTTGGTGTAGGTGAACGTAGTCGTAAAATAAATTTCACGCCTTCAGAACTTCCCATTTTATCTTAGTCTTCTTTTATGAGGATCCTTCAACTTATTTTTGAAAGTTAAAATTAAGGTTAAAAATAATTTTGTAGGTTTCCATTTTAATTTCCTAATATATTCGCATTTTTTACATTTTTAACGTCTTTATACTTTTACCGAAACATTTCTCCAATTTTAATTTCCATCTGCATTACATTTTTAACGTCTCTACACTTTTACCGAAACAGGTCATTTTTGCTCACAAATTTAAAGCAGTAAAAGATTGCATCTCTGAAAGAAGATGTAAAAGATCACATCTTAAAAACTTGACTCGTCCCAAAAATATGCAGATCAAAAAGATAGAGTATTCTCTCCGAAATCTATTTAATTAAAAAATTCCACAAGAAGTTCATTTTTCTCGGAACGCAGAGTTGACGAACGATAAATTTTGTACCGCAATGATTTAAAGTCCCAGATACGACTCTGTCAACGCAAGATAATGTATCTCGAATATCGACAGTTACACGATAGCATCGTTATGACACTGTATATGCTACGTTACGTTTGCTCTTCCGTAACAAGTTGTCCTACTTGTTCTTCTAATTACGACAGAAGAATTCGCGTATCGGACAAAAGCCGGAGAAAGCCATCGATAAAGGGAAACGCATTTCCGCGATGAAACTTGTAAAGCTTCCTGATCCGATTTTCTATCCGATTACGCGGTGTTAATATTCAGAGGCATTCGATAATTAGTCACGAATGATTTCCTAGGTTTCTTCTCGTGATTTTATCTTTATTCCGAAACGGACACTGTTCCGAAGAAAGTTATTTGCAAATAACTGTTATTTATGTACTATGAATTCATTTGCAATGCTATGTGCTCTACTATTTAGAGAACGAGTTTTCGCTGTTGGAATCATAACTTCGAGTATTTCAGTATTTCTTCGTCGTAACTGGGAACATTTTATTTGAATCACCCTGTACATTTTCGTTGATGAACACTGTAGATATTTCTCTTTGTTTGATTACTTTATTGTCCTATAAATTCATGGGACGTTCATGTGTATAGGATTATACAGGTCGTTTCAAAAATACATACATAAATTTTATATATTGAATCAAATTAAAAATTCTTTACTATACTGCGAACTATGATTCTCTTACTGCATAAGGGATAAAAAGGTTCTTTTTCTAGTCACTCTTCTTAAATAACCAAATAATAAAGTTTTTATCGTGCGCATTATTTTTGAGACACCCTGTACATTTCAAGATTTTCGTTGATAAACACTGTAGATATTTGTCTCTTTGTTTGATTACTTCATTGTCCTACAAATTCATGGGACGTTCACGTGTACAGAATTGTACAGGTCGTTTCAAAAATACATATATAAATTTTATATATTGAATCAAATTAAAAATTCTTCACTATACTGCGAACTGTGATTCTCTTACTGCATAAGGGATAAAAAGGTTCTTTTTCTAGTCACTCTTCTTAAATAACTAAATAATAAAGTTTTTATCCTGTGCATTATTTTTGAGACACCCTATACTTATATTTTGAATAGCGTCTAAGAGTTGTGTGTCTTATTCGAACTCGTAAGCTAGAGATTTAATAATAACTTGTATTAATTTACAGAGGATTCCGAGCTGTCCCGTGAAGAGTCCGCAGCCTTTGAAGGAGTTCGTGGGTCGCTGCCAGACGATGCCATCGCGAGTGAAAAAGTCCTTCTGCGGTTGCCTCCAGGTAATTCTTACCTCCACTTATATTTATCTATGAAATTCCCTGTGAAGCCGTTGCAAGTTAACCTCCGAAGGGTTAATAATTCCACAAATAGCTGCCCAGCGAAATTGAATGCAGCGAGCTGTTGAGCTCTAACAGGAACAATTAGTCGATCATAAAGCGCGAAAATTGATTCCGTGCTTTGAAGCCGCCAAGCAATTCCGCATTCCTCGTTCCGTTTCGAGCCGATTGTAGACTTCCACGAAGTCGATTGTCATTAGGAAGTTACGTAAGCCTAAGCAGATTCAGCAGCTGAAACGAAGAAATTAAAGGCTTTTTATTCTCTGATAATTTACTAATAGCTGTATTTTTCTCCATGTAAATTCTGTTGCACTTTCAGCATCTAGACTTCCGTTTCTGCTCTAGAAGCCGCTGATTTATCGCGTGCTGTAATTGCGAGGCTCGAGGAAACTTAATGATTCAATCTCAGCACTTTCGATTTGATCTAGCCTTTCTCCACCCTGTAATTTCAAGTCTCATCCTTAATTGCTCCTCTTCTGATCTCGACTGAGAAGTGAGAAGTTGCTGAGAAGTGCCGGTCACCTCTGAAAAAAATGGCGGAGGAAAATGAGATCTGAGCCACACGTTAGGTCTTCGAGTACAGAACAATAAGCATTTGTCTTAATATTTGAGAGTCTAGTCGATTTAATATTTGATTTAAGGTGAGATAGACAAGTATTATTGTGTATATTAAGACGAATGGTGGTCCTTTTCATTTTCCCTGAGGAAGGTTAACGCGCCTCGTCAAGTTATACTGGGAGTGCATCACTTTGCATTGCAGATGTCATTCGAGCAAGCGTAACGGACGCAAGAATGCTTTGCATTTATGGGTGTGTACCGGATAGGGTAATGTAACCCTCCGCATCTCGCAATCATTTCAAACCTGTATATTTGTCAGCTCGTAACGAATCCGACCCATTTTCTTTAATGATGGATTTCAATGCCTCCAGCACAAAACATCGCACTTTCGATCTGATCTGAACTAAAGAATCAAGTTTGGAAACTCGTTTCTTCTCAATTGTTCAGTACACCTCTTATTAAGACTCATTCAAGCATTATCGAACTTTCACCGAACCTATTTTATAAATACTCTCTAAAGAGAGGATCCTCTAGTCCTTTTTTACCTACAAAGTTCCGGTGGAATGCAAGTGACTCATGGAACACGTTTTCAATTATCGACGATCAAAGAATATTTCTGTCACGAGACTTTTTCTAGTCTCTAGGTCAGACTCTAAAAACACAGTAATAAAACAATGTTAACATTGAAAGCTGATTTTTAATTCCGTTTTGTTCGTCTCAGAGGCTCTGACAAGAAACTCAGTTCCAAGAATCACTTTTCCAGCGACACAAACGAAAAACATACTAATGTTCACGTAGAAGCTTTCTTGCCGGATCCATTTCAGCTTTATCGAGAAGTAGGCGCTTATGAAGAACCGTATGTGCTATCCAGCTTATGTTGTTTTCTATCGTCCATCTGTTTCGCATATCGAGGCCTCTGCAATTTCTTCTCCGGATGTAATGTCTTTCTTTCGTGCAAAATTACTTTACTGTACTTCGGACATGACCGATTCCGTTCTTCAGAACGAATTTATCAATTTCATTCCTGGAAGAGTTTTTGAAACAGTTACACAATTCAGGTGCAAGTAGTACTTTCGACCTGATAATTAATAATAGCGATGGATACGAATAGGTAATTTCCTAGTCACGTGTGAAAGTACCTTAGGAATCCGGTGCCTGAGCCGGTCCCCTGACCTTTGCTGCCGTTGCCTCTTTGCTTCGAGCTGGGTCGAAGGAGCCGCGAGAACTGTACAGTGCGAGATGTCGATGCTTTCTGTCGATCGTAAACGCTCGATGAACTTGAACGTTAGCGTACGAATACCACTGAATTTCAAAGGCGTTACGCCCCTTTGTGCTGTTGCCGCCATCCGATCTTCACGTTAATTTTGCATAAATTTATCGCAAACATGAATCAGAAAATCTGCAAAATTACCAACCAATATTTCGTACATTTATGGACAATTTTTTAACATCTTCCATATTTTTTCAAGGCATCTCATCTTAAATTTCTGATTCGACAGAAGTTCGACAGAACAGAAGTTCGACATAGACAGTTTTCTGAGTCCTCTTAAATCAGCATAACAGCACCGAATCTCTTGGAAGTAGGGTACTCGTGTGAAGAGATTACAGTGCGATCGTCGATCGCTTACACTGTACGCAAGCGAAGCGGCATCTCCGCGATTTAATGCCGAGGCTCGTCTTCAATAAGGTCAAGACCTGGTTACATACCCTCGATCGTCTTCGTTCCCAATCGGTTTTCACGGAAAGTCGAAATACCTGTGACGTTCGAGAGGAACGTGCGAACTCGATTCCATGACCTTTCGGCTGTCTCTCACGTGTCTTCCCTCGTTCTCGTCATTTCTCTCACGTGCCGTTAAAAAAACATGCTTGTAAAATTCTTTCACGTCTCAGTTCTCTTTTATCTCCAAAACAATGTTCGCATTAAAATTTCGGTTTTGACTCATCTTGTTGCCATATTTTTTGCAAGCCTGAAAGTGTCTTTTTATGTCGAGTATAATTTTATAGTCTTGCAGAGTTGACTTGCTAATGTTATGAAAGTACAAATTTTTTGGTTAAACACCTAACTGATATGGTCAACATTGATGAACTTTGATAATGATCAACTTTAATTAATTTTGACAATGATCAATTTTGATGAACTTTGATAGTGATCAATTTTGATTAATTTTGCTAATGATCAACTTTGATGAACTTTGATAATGATCAACTTTGATTAACTTTAACAATGATCACCTTTGATTAATTTTGACAATGATCAATTTTTATTAATTTTGATAATGATCAACTTTGATGAACTTTGATAATGATCAACTTTGATTAATTTTGATAGTGATCAACTTTGATGAACTTTGATAATGATCAACTTTGATTAATTTTGCTAATGATCAACTTTGATGAACTTTGATACTGATCAACTTTGATGAACTTTGACAATGATCAATTTTGATGAACTTTGATAGTGATCAATTTTGATTAATTTTGCTAATGATCAACTTTGATGAACTTTGATAATAATCAATTTTGATTAATTTTGTTAATGATCAATTTTAGGATGACGAGCCCCCGGAAATCACGTATTGCGTGGTGGAGCACACGGGTACGCTCACGCTTCAAGCGATGACACCCACCCTGCCGATGCCCTCCGAGGAGGAGTTGAACAAGATGTTCCTCGAATTGGTGGACGAGCTGGACCTGACCCAGGCTAACCGGCAGGCGGTCTTGGCACTTCCGGCGAACAAAAAGTGGCAGATTTACTGCTCCAGGAAAGGCAACGGCACGTTGGAGAACGGGAGTCTGAGGACCACCGACCTTAGCGGCGATCCTGAGGACTACATCAACAGACTGAGGACCATAGCTAGCGTAAGTGACTCCATTCAAATATACATACAAATCAAATTAGCATTGTACATCACACTGAACGTCTCTTAACCTCTTAGCTTACAATGACATCTCAGACACGTGATAAATCTAAACCAAAGTTCAGATAAACCTGGACATAAAGACGTATCAAAGAAGTGGTGTACCGGGTGAAACATAAAGAAGACAATCTTGTTATTTATGGCACAGTATGAAATTAAATTGTACGGGGTTAATCTAAATTTTTCTAATTACAGAGTCCATTCTCTGAAGAAGGCGAGGAGCTCACGAACCAGATGCGACAGGTAGAGGCCCTGAAGACCGCCCTAAGGACGCAGCCGCACAGTTTCGTTCTCAGATTCATAGAGCTTGATGGTCTAAACGCTTTGTTGCAAGTACTAGGCACCATGGAGCCCGAAGCAGCCAACAGTAACCTGCACACGAGCGTCATAGGGTGCTTAAAGGCGTTGATGAACAATTCCGTAAGTTTCAGAAGCAGTGAATATTTTTTCTCAGAACTTGTATCTTACAGAACTTGTATCCTTACAGAACGGGAGGGCACACGTACTGGCGCACCCGACAGCCATCAACACGATCTCACAGTCGCTGGCGACCGAGAATATCAAAACGAAAATCTCCGTGCTGGAAATTCTGGGCGCCGTATGCCTGGTTCCTGGCGGACACCGAAAAGTGCTGGAGGCGATGCTGCACTTCCAGCAGTTCCATTCCGAACGAACGCGATTCCAAAGCATCATCAACGACCTGGACAAGAATTTCGGGATCTACAAGGATAATTTGTCGCTGAAGACAGCAATCATGTCGTTCATCAACGCGGTGCTGAACTACGGACCCGGTCAAGTGACCCTAGAGTTTAGGCTGCACTTGAGATACGAGTTGCTGATGCTTGGGATACAACCGATTATCGAGAAGCTGAGGAAGTACGAGAACGAGACGTTGGACAGACATTTGGACTTCTTCGAGATGGTCAGGAACGAGGATGAGAAGGAGCTGGCAAGGAAATTCGAGAAGGAACATGTGGACACGAAGAGCGCCACCGCCATGTTTGATCTGTTGAGGAGGAAGCTCAGCCACACTGCTGCCTATCCTCATCTGTTGAGTCTGTTAGAACACTGTCTGTTGCTGCCTCGTGAGTAATCGATTTAAAAGAGTATTTTGAAGTTAGAAGTTTCTGTGATTAAAAATTGATTTCGTTTTCAGTCGACTATGGTTCCTACCCGCAGCACTGGTTGCTGTTCGACCGCATCGTGCAGCAGATCGTCCTTCAATCAGAAGGAACCGACACGTGCGTCACTAGAAACCCTGACGTAGCTCCGATCGACATCAACGTGAAGGAAATCGTTCACCTGCTCGCTAAGGAAGAGGAACTCGTCGCGGCCAGGAAGAAGGCCGAGGAGTTGGAGCGAGAAAACTCCGATATGTCGACCAGATTGGCCAAGAAGGAACAAGAGTTGGATCTGAGGACGCAGGAGAAAGTAATTTATCGCCTTGCCAAATCGAGGCTGCTTTTTGCCACCGTACGTTACGTTATTGTTACCGTTTTTTTTTTAGGAAGATATGGAGGCCAGTCTGGCGAGAGTCAAGGAACGTCTCGAAAAGGAGACGTCGATGCATATAGAGACGAAGCAGAGGATCTCGGAGCTGCAGGACAACTTGGAGACGTTATCTCGACAGATAAATAATGAAAAATCTGAGAGAAAGCGGCTGGAGCAATTGGTGGCTTCGGGGAGCCTGCCGGATGATGCGAAAGCGACGATCAAAATTGTGGAGGATGAGGTGCTGGAGAAGGTTGAGTCGAAACCGATGCCGCCGCCTCCTCCGCCTCCACCTTTGGCGCCGCCGCCACCGCCTTGTTTGATGCCGGCTGCACCTCCTCCTATGAAGGTAATTTCACTGTTAGGTTTCACTCTTAGGGTTCACTCTTCAAGTTTATCCCGAAGGATGACAGACTAAATATTAAAATACAGAGTATTATAGACTAAATATTCAAGCAATTGCATGTTTAGTATCTAATCATCTTCAAGATTCAAGTAACATTGCAAATTCCCACAGGTGGAGATAATAAAGAACGTTCCTCAGCCCAGCAACCCCCTAAAATCCTTCAACTGGTCCAAAATACCGGAGCAGAAGCTCCAGGGAACAATATGGTCCGAATTAGACGACACGAAACTGTACAACGTCATGGACCTAGAGTCCATCGACAAGATCTTCTGCGCCTACCAGAAGAACGGAGTATCAGCAGAAGGTTCGATCGAGGACCTCCGAACTTTGGGGAAGAATAAGAAGACCATGTCAGTGATCGATTCTAGGAGAGCTCAAAACTGCACCATACTGTTATCAAAATTAAAAATGTCCGACAACGAGATCACAAGAACAATATTATCTATGGATCAGCAAAATATTCTGCACATAGACATGGTCGAACAGCTGCTGAAATATATTCCGTCGTCCGAGGAAGCAGCTCTGTTGGACATGCATCAGAAGGAGCTGCAGAGCAGGGCCGACTGTTTCTTATACCAAATATCCAAGTACGTGATTGAAATATTTCAGTCTCTGTTCAATATTCATTTCTCTTTACATCACCCCGTCATTCCAGAGTGCCCCACTACGAGCAAAGACTGCGATCCCTTCACTACAAAAAGAAATTCGCTGCCAGCATCGCGGAATTGACGCCGAGAATGCGCGCGGTTCTCGAAGCCAGTCGGCAGGTGGCCAGATCAAGGCGGCTCAGAAAGTTGCTGGAACTGGTGCTGGCTCTAGGGAATTACGTAAATCGCGGCAACGCTCGAGGGAACGCTTGCGGTTTCCGTCTGGCCTCCTTGAACCGTCTGGTCGACACGAAGTCCTCTTGCTCCAAAGGCACCACGCTGTTGCACTATTTGGTTCAGATTCTGGAGTCCAGGTTCAGGGAGGTGCTGGACATCGAGGAGGACATGCCGCACGTTCGAACCGCCGCCAGGGTTAGCATGGCCGACCTGCAGAAGGAGGTGGCTAATCTCAAGCCTCCTCCTATGAAGGTAATTTCACTGTTAGGTTTCACTCTTAGGGTTCACTCTTCAAGTTTATCCCGAAGGATGACAGACTAAATATTAAAATACAGAGTATTATAGACTAAATATTCAAGCAATTGCATGTTTAGTATCTAATCATCTTCAAGATTCAAGTAACATTGCAAATTCCCACAGGTGGAGATAATAAAGAACGTTCCTCAGCCCAGCAACCCCCTAAAATCCTTCAACTGGTCCAAAATACCGGAGCAGAAGCTCCAGGGAACAATATGGTCCGAATTAGACGACACGAAACTGTACAACGTCATGGACCTAGAGTCCATCGACAAGATCTTCTGCGCCTACCAGAAGAACGGAGTATCAGCAGAAGGTTCGATCGAGGACCTCCGAACTTTGGGGAAGAATAAGAAGACCATGTCAGTGATCGATTCTAGGAGAGCTCAAAACTGCACCATACTGTTATCAAAATTAAAAATGTCCGACAACGAGATCACAAGAACAATATTATCTATGGATCAGCAAAATATTCTGCACATAGACATGGTCGAACAGCTGCTGAAATATATTCCGTCGTCCGAGGAAGCAGCTCTGTTGGACATGCATCAGAAGGAGCTGCAGAGCAGGGCCGACTGTTTCTTATACCAAATATCCAAGTACGTGATTGAAATATTTCAGTCTCTGTTCAATATTCATTTCTCTTTACATCACCCCGTCATTCCAGAGTGCCCCACTACGAGCAAAGACTGCGATCCCTTCACTACAAAAAGAAATTCGCTGCCAGCATCGCGGAATTGACGCCGAGAATGCGCGCGGTTCTCGAAGCCAGTCGGCAGGTGGCCAGATCAAGGCGGCTCAGAAAGTTGCTGGAACTGGTGCTGGCTCTAGGGAATTACGTAAATCGCGGCAACGCTCGAGGGAACGCTTGCGGTTTCCGTCTGGCCTCCTTGAACCGTCTGGTCGACACGAAGTCCTCTTGCTCCAAAGGCACCACGCTGTTGCACTATTTGGTTCAGATTCTGGAGTCCAGGTTCAGGGAGGTGCTGGACATCGAGGAGGACATGCCGCACGTTCGAACCGCCGCCAGGGTTAGCATGGCCGACCTGCAGAAGGAGGTGGCTAATCTCAAGAACGGTCTTCAAGACGTTCAGAGAGAAATTGGTCAGTTGCAATCGAGTTTACTTTCGATTCCTAATATAGGCGGGTTGGGAAAGAATTTTATACAAACTGGTTTCACCATGTTTGGTGTACTTTCAGAATTCCATCGGGGACAGTCGCAGGTACTGCAGGGAGACATGTTCTTGCCGGCGATGAGGGACTTCCAGGCGCAGGCCACGTGTAGGCTGGCGGAGGCGGAGGATCTGTTCCAGGATATGAAGACCAGGGTATGTTAAACTCTATTTACAGGTACTACAAGTACTCTATAGTCACAAGGACCTCAAAGGTCACAAGGACCTCAAACAAGGTTGAACAACTATCTAAGGTTAAACAAAAGTTCCACAAAGATGCAGTTTGAACTTTGAATTTGATTTGCAGTTCGATCGTGCAGTAAGACTGTTCGGCGAGGACTCCGCAGGAGTGCAGCCCGACGAGTTCTTCGGGATCTTCGAGAACTTCCTGCAGGCGTTAGCCGAGGCGAGACAGGACGTGGAGAACATGAGGAAGAAGATAGAGGAAGAAGAGCGTCGAGCAAAGCAGGAGCAAGAAGTATGAAATCATTATTCAAATCGTCCTTAACAGTATCGGTAAATTTTGATAATTTGCAGCTTCGAAAGAGGACAATGGAGAGAAAGAACTCTCGCGAGGGAATATTGAACAGCATCTCGCTGAGCAAGAAGAACGAGGTGAACAGTAACGGGCAAACGGACAATAAGGGTGAATTCGACGACCTGATATCAGCCCTTCGCACGGGGGATGTTTTCGGGGAGGATATAGCAAAGTTCAAGAGATCGAAGCGCAGACCTGTGACTCCCAGCGGACAAGAATCGCGAAGACACAGCGCACACAGGGAAGATTCGAGAGAACGACACTGAATCTCTTTCAAATTATCTCGAAATGTTTCCTTGGCTTCGGTGGAACTGCGGTTTAATATGTGATAGGAAGAAAAATGTTCGTGTAGAGAGACAAGTAGGGAATGTACATAGACAAGGAAATTTAAGTTTCTCGCGAATTTCTTCGTTGATTTTGAGACGTCTTCCTTTGATTCGTTTGTTAAAGACTTTATTCCTTTGATAGTTTTCAATGTTTCATTTTTCTAAGCACAAAGACTATCTTTAAAATTTAGAAAACGTATAATAGTATTTCCATCGATCACAACGTTGAAAAAGGCGGAACATATATCCTTAAATAACCACAAGATTTTCTTTGTATATAGTCACGGATTTGTCACTCAAGAAAATAACGCGATTCTAAGACATTTTTTGAAATTTTTTTACAACTTTTTGAACGTGTCCTTATGAAACATACAAACAGGGCCTAGAAGGGTGCAGACCTTCTGCCCCCACGAAACATACAAGTCTGATTTTGTATTTTAGAAATCGACGAACGCATCGATTAGATCGCTTAGCGCAGTGCTGTCCACGAGATCCTTCACTACACACGAGCTTCATAACACATGTGTACACATGTTAGAATATTGCTAGCATTGGACAATATTCAAGGGCAAAATTTCTAGGGTAGCTAGTGTTGTAGGTGGGTTATTTCCATAATATGCCCTTACAACTATTATTGCTTGACCCTTGTGTAGTCCTCTTCCCAACACTTTGTCTCTATATGTACCAGAACCACAAATCCTGTCTGTGTCAGGGAACCTGGGAGTTATGGACAGCACTGTATTTAGGGACTAGTTGGCAATCGTCTAGTCGACAGAAATCGTGTTAGTTTTCGATGTGTAGGGAAGGAGCGATTAGACGAGAGTTTGTTGTATAGTAGTCGATGTTTTATAAGCTTTTGTATTTTTGTAAATATTCAGTATCGACGTCTCGTTCTTGTGGAGGACGCTCGACAAGACTCAATGTCCAGTTAATATATTACCGAGTCCTTAATGTCACATGTATTAATATATACAGAAATATACCGAAATATATGAAAATTACTGTCGAGTTTTTCAAGATTGCTTTACAGCCTTCAGATATCCAGCGTTCACTTATCTGTACTCTCAGAGATGTGGTTGAAGAGAATGTACAATTTGGATAATTTGATTTACTTGGATAAAATATGATTTACCAAGATTAATTAACAATCTAATCATAATATCACTCAACTATTTACTCTATTAGTATCAGATATAGTAGAAACCTGTATACTCGACCTAAGATGGCGCCACACATAAAATTTCCCAGAATCCTTCAAGTATAACCCGTGACTAAAGATGGCGCCACAGATACTGATAGTCCCTGCATTTCACATATCATTGCTACATTTAATTAACTAGATAATATGACTAACAACAGTGCAAATGCAAAAGATTGATAAAATAAAAAAGCTATAACTTCTGATGTTGTTAAGGATAGAAAATAATATCCGATAATTAAGATTTAGAAAAAATCTGGAATGAAAGTATGGACGAATTCCGATAGTATTAACGATGTTCGAACGGTCATTAAAAATTTAGGCCGCACTTTTATATCGCCTACATCGTGCGATAATTAATAAACTTTTAATTATTTTTTCGCGTCAACGGCTCCCTTGTATCTAAAAAAAATGTAATACAGTCATTCATTTTCAAAGTGGAGTTTCTGTGCCGAAAAATCCGAGGACGTCATTAGACATAACTGTTGGCCTTAATGAAAGTCTTGAGTTGTTAATCAGTTTCATAATAATAAATTTAAATTGTTAAAATCCATCGAATGATTAAACAAAAAAATGCAATATTAATGTTGTAAGATTGCTGGAAAATTTTTGTTAGAAAACGTTCGAAAGAAAAATAGAGGGAACAAAGACAATGTAAACGCAACACGTAATTTTGTTCAGAAACTTTATTTATTACATACACTAGCCGACTACTATGCATGCGTTGGGGCATTCGGATATAGGGATTTCGCTTGAGATCCGAAACGCGTTGTTTATTGTATCTCACAAACACCGCTGTTTTCCATTATACCGTTTCTTTTCACCCTTGCACAGCACGTGATTACCTCATCCCGTAATTGTTTCGTTTAAATTATAATGCGTTACGTTACGTGTGTATAATCCGATGGGTCTAAGACGAACGACGTCCCCTGCTCGTCCCGTTTCGAGATCGACCAGCTGCTTTTCGCGTGAACAAATCAAAATGTGCAAAATCGAACATTCGAAAAACCTAGAGGGTGCAAAGTGAGTCTTAGGACCAATTTTGCCGAGCAAAATCGCAGAGAGACTCGTTCGACTTAGTTTACAGCGTAACCACATATATTTTGCATTTATATTCTTTTATATATATATATTTATTTATATATGTATACTTTGTATTTATATATTTATATACAGTGGGCGGCGGGCGGAAGGTAACGGCGCCATCGCGGCACCAAAACTCTCAAAATGGAAGAATAAAAATTACGTGTGGTTATTTTTCGTGTAACGTGCTCTTTATACTCTAAGTTAACCTTAGGATGCAAAGAGTAAACCATATTTTACCTTTCTAAGCCATCATTCTGATCGAGGTATCGTTATATAAGAATGAAACTGTAGATATCTAGATCAAACGGTACTAAACTTATTTTGGCTTCAAATATCCTGATAAAAGGTTTCGTTGCTTTCTGTGGAAGAATGTATCGGCAAGTGCTCTGCAAAATGTATCACTCAGTCTCGCTTTAATATTTAGAATAATTCGCTGAATTTTCCTTGCCAAAAACAACGAACTAAATATCTCACTTGCATCCTAGGATCAATCACCGTTTCGTGTCCGTGGGCACCATTACCCTGCCACCACCACCTCACGTCGTATCCGTAAATAAAGTATAATGCCTTACGGAGCTAGAACTTATACCGACATATTGCACATTTGACAACAGTTACGTCTTCTTTAAGTACTTGGGTATAGGAATTGTTCGCTAATAAACATTGTCACGCTCACCTTCCCGAAACTCGCACGCATTCGCTCATTCTCACGTAAGATGATTTATGAATTTTCGGCTCCTCAAGCGTCTCTCAAGGTTCGATGTGTCTGCTGGCTATTAATTCGTTAACGTCTCACTCGTTATTTAATCGTTCGTTGCAAATCGTTTGGAGTTCTCCTAAAGGCGAAATGTTCGTTTCACGATTACACAAGGCTCACACACGCACGCAGGCTCTCCCTCACACATATACATATTTATTTATACTCGCACTATTTAAAGCGGTTCTAACTTCTAATTAGTTGTTCGTCTTCCACGTCGCGAATCACCTGCTCTTTCACGAGTAATTGTCTTCGAGGTCCTCGTTTCGAGGTCGAGCGATGGACGCGTTGGAAGCGAGCTTTATCCGCGATCGATGATTCGTCATTGTACTGGCCGTCCATAGGCCACCGTTTCGTTGATGAGGACCGAAATCATTCTCGTTGTGTTCTCCCTTCGGCTATCGATTCTCGAAGGAACCGAGAATTACGTAGGCCCTGTGCGACATCGATGATGCAGCCAGATTCGCTCGAAACCGAACGATTCGTTGTGTTTCCTTTTCTGTATAATTCGTACATCCCGTAATGGATCATTCGTTTACCCTGATTCGTCGAAAACCTTCTTCTGAAGAATTTCTTTCCGTGTTCGTTGAGTGACCTCTGTCAAAGGTTTATCGCGTCTAAAACTCGATCGCGATACCAATGTTCGTGACTACGTGTCGGAAGATCGGTATCGGCTTGTCCGTGAAGATGGACGCTGTTTAATTGGATGAATGTTTCGAACGATGATTAAACGGAAGCGTGAAGCGTGCTCGACGGGGGTCCTGCTGGATACGAGGTGCTGGTAGGCGCTGGCGTCGGTTGTAGGCTCAGTTGTAGCTGGTGTTGCTGGGCTTTCGCCCTCAAACAGGCGATGCTCTCGTTTCTCAACTGCTCTGTGTCTTGTACCATTCCTGCAGCACACAAGTTTCACCGAATAAATCACATACTTCAAGCTCAAATTACGTAGTTCAAGCTTTATCCTTTCACGCAAGCAAGAGGATCAGAAATTTTCTAAATTTGACTTCAGTTCAAAGGAACGAATAATCTACTTTGCAACTACCTATCTAATTTATTGATCAATCTAAATAATCCATAATTTTGAAAGGTGTATTACCTGTCGAAGAAGATGGTCCCATGCCGTCCTGGCTTTCTTGGCCGCTCTCGGAACTGGTCGGTCCACCTTGATGATGATTGTGATGGGGACTGCTTCCGCTTCCGTTGTGATCGTTTCCGCTATCCTCGCCGCCGGACTTGAGATGTTCCGCCGCTTCGATTGACTTCCGATGCATCCCTGCGGGGCCACAGTCAATCATTTCTTGATTATTTTCGATATCTTGACTAAAGCTGCTCGTCTTAGATGATTGAGCTGACAAGGACGAACAAAAAAATACAAAGTCGAGATTTGTATACTCTCTGCAAGGTTGGACGTTCAATTAATCATTAAGCATTGCTGGCTCCGATCGAGAAAAGATTCTTAAAAGATTCCTGAAGTTAGCAAAACTTAATGGCACCGCTTTGTTCAAGATTCGAAAGACATTCTGATGGTGCTTACCTAACAACCACGGCGCGACCGACTCGTTCTCCTTGGCACTCTTCAGGATCGTCTCCGGAAGCGGCAGCGAGTGTCGCACCATCGCTCCGTATAACCCGTACTCCGCCATTATGGTACTTCTGCCCCAACACTTCTCCGTTTTGCGCCATTTTGCTCTCCGGTTTTGGAACCACACCTGCAACAAATTCCAAACCAAACTTTATTACTCAGTTTTGTTATTAAACGCTCAAGTTTGAAGATAACCTCAAAATTTTTGTGTACAATATTCTCCATATTGCTAAGATATATTTTCAACTTCCCTGTGACTAATTACACTTAAACTTTATTACCAAACTTTGTTATTAAACATCAAGTTTAAAGATAACCTCAAAATTTTTGTGTACAATATTCTCCATATTGCCGAGATCTGTTTCCATAATTATTCGCTAGAAGATTGCTTGTTAGTGTCTAAACATGGTTCACCGACTTCAGAAAACTGGAGTATCGATTCGCTTGTCCATTTAATGATCATTGTCTCGTAATTGGCGCACTATGAGCGTGCGATCAGTGCGTGCGGTTCGCTAGCTTCTAGTTAACTATCACGCTTAAACGATCCTCTACTCGTTATTCTGTTTTCCGTGGCTGTTAGGTTACTTGTTAACGATTCCGATCGTGGGACCACCTAGGGCGAAGACGCGTGCCGGTTCTTGGGTCACGCAACCCTCGGCTTCGACCTTAACGAGCTAGATTTGCAAGTTTTCGAACTAATCAGTAGTATATTAGTCACGGTAATTTGTTTCTCATACACTTCTGATAATTATGAATTGTTAAAGGTTGGCTTATAAGTCAAACTCATGGTTGCAGTTAAATGTACCTGTATACATTAGTTGAATTTCACAAAGATCAAATTTTGTATAAATAAAGATTGGTTAAAGTACCCTAACATTTCAGTGTTACTGCAATAATAATTAGACTAAAGAATTTATAGGTTAAGGGATTAATAGAGAGACTCGTGTCGGCCATTTTGAGGAAAAATTTTGTGGAACAGTTTCCATTTAACGGTCAATCCGTCAGACGCATTCCTCGTACGTGATCGTCGGAGGATGTGATTAAAAAAAAGAATCGTGTACGCATCATTTGCGAGACGTGTGCAGCGGGCAGACCAGGGATGAGGGATGAGAAGAGGAGAGAAGTGGGTGGTGGATACGAGGGCCGGAGGCCAGGGCGTGTACCAATTTGTAGCAACAATGCTAAAGTCACCGGCAGAATTGGAACGTAATTCGAATGAATGGGAACGCGTTGCCCTGTCAATTTGCGCTGCCACCCCGAAATTATCTTCCGCCTAGCCTCGAACGAGCTGGCCGGCCTTTTTTTCGCGACCCCACCCCCTTGCCAACCAGGAAAATACAACATGCAAATGTTGCATTGCTCTCGAACTGCTTTCGCTTTATTAACGCTACCCCATGGCTCACCTGTGTGTCACAAACTTAATATAAACGGATAAAGAAAACTTCATGAAAGACTGAAGCTTTAATCTAAATAATTTTAATGGCAAACGTTGAATTCATATCGTGTGGAACATCGGAGAAGGCAAAATAAATTAACCTCTTCCCATGCTCTGACTTACTGTTCAAACCTTACTCAAATTTTGAATACTCTTCAACTTGAAATTTAAGTCTTATCTGAGTTGCATTATCAAGGATTCCTGAATATAAAATATTCAGAACATTTTAATTTTCTTTCAGTTAGTCTTCTGATAAATAAATAAGAAGGTTTGAAAAATATTTGATCTGGATCTAAAAGACCTATGACCGAATCACATGAATCTTCTTCCAATTTTTAACGCTATTATGAAAATCGTGCGGTAATAGTCCGTCAATGTGGAAAGACGAAAGGAGAAAAGCAAACTCGAAGGCTATGTCGCAGAAATGGTGATGGTCGAGAACCAGAGAGAATCCTGTTGGAAATCTGTCGTTGATCGGGGACAGCCGTTCTATTCGCTGACGCGTAAATGATTGTACCGATCGTAAAGCTGTTTTATTCGATTTCCAAACGGATTCGTGACAGCGATTGCGCGCTTCAGCAACGAACCACGATGAAATCTACTTTAAATGTACTTGCAGTTCGAACGATTCAACGAAGCATCTCTGCTGGGTCGCTTTATCGATGTCTGTTTCACAGTGGGTACACAATCTACCTTCTCTCATGCTGACAAAAATCTCAAACTCTTTTTGGTTTTTTGCATTGTCGAAGATTTTATGGAAATTTCATGTTTATTTTTAATCGACTTCAAAAAGGAGATTCTGTATTTCATCTGCATGTATGTATATAGGTATGTATGTATGTATGTATGTAAGTATGTATGTATACATGTGTGTCTATGTACGTATGTATGTACACATGTGTGTATATGTATCTATATGTATATGTACATATGTGTGTATATGTGTATATGTATGTACGTATGTATGTATATATGTACACATATGTGAATATGTATGTACGTATGTATATACACATGTGTGAATATGTATGTACGTATGTATGTATGCATATATGTCCACATGTGTATAATGTACGTATGTATGTATGCATATATGTCTACATGTGTGTATATGTATGTATGTACGTTTGTCCACAATTTTCTCTTAAACCAATGAACCAATTTTGATGATCCTTTTTAAACATCTGTTAAAAAATCAACACTGTAGTTTTCAACATGGAACACAGTTGAAACAAGAAATGAAGCAAGAAGTTTGCAAGAAGTCAGAAGCTGGAAACCTAACAGCAGGGAAGAAGTAAAAGATACAGGGAGAAAGGAGTGATATAAAAAAGGAAAGATTCGTAGGCGATTGAAATCCGAAAGCCAGCGAATGAGTCGCGTTTAAGATTGTTCAGGATTGGAAATCGGGTACCGGGATTTATCCTTCGGCATGCCGGAATAGGTTGTCGAGAGACGAAAGTACGGGAACAGAATGGATACGTATATACGCGTATATACACGTATATAGGTGGATGAAGAAGGGTCCAGGGCTGCATTGCAGGAGCAGCAGCAGCAACGAGGCAACGAGAAAGAAGAGGATCCTTTATGGTAGCGTTCGTCGACTCGAAGGAGCTAGAACTCCGGCACGATGAGCTTCCCACCCCTTGTGCCCCGTCGACGCCTCGTCCTTTCTCCATTCTCTGTCCCGCCACCCCCCTCTTTATTGGCACACCCGGTATAATAAGGAGCGAGTTTGTATTTAGTCGGTCATGCGCAGTACTGGCTGTTGGCGTATCATCGATCAGACCGGCGACTGACTATTGGACCAAAACAAGAGGATGAGAATGGGAATGGGAATAAAGAGAGAGAGAGGCCGATGTATAAAGCGCGACAGGAAGAGGCAGGCAAGTGGAACGGGGCAGAGAGGGGTAGAGAAGGAGAAACAGGGAATACTGAAGGTGGACGAGGACGACGATACCGCGATGGAGAGAAGGACATCGATAGGAAGATCGAGGGAAAGACTCGAATACCATGGTATTACCGCGTCCAAGTTGGTCGAGCTGTGTTGAAAGAGGGTGACGTTGGTCTGAGGAACAGAGGGAGTCGCGGTTACTTCCAATGGATTACCAATACACCGATACGATACACGCTCGCGAAGTCACCGATAGTGTGCAGGATGTCGACGCGGAAACACGCTCAAGGAAGTTGGGAAAAGAGGAGCGTGACAAGTCGGCACCCACCTGCCTGCTTCTTGCCGCAACACTCGAGCCTCGATACCGGCACCACGTATTGAAACCGAGGCTGAAGAGTTGCCGTCAGGTACTGGCAGGACGAGGGTCCTCGAAGGTCTACCTAACCGAAAGCTTTTTGATTTTCCGCCGTCGAGACATTGCCAAACCGTTATTTTTCTTCTGGTCGTTCCTTCTAATTCTTTTCACTCTAACTTCAAATGTTTTGAAATTTGTCACTAACTTTGTGATGATTGGAAAACAGAAGACTGGAAAACTGATTGCTTGCTTCTAATTTGAACACTATTTTTACAGAAGTTTAAACTTCAAGTCGATATCTACATTCTTCTTAGACTGAATATTCTATTAACTTTTGAAAGCTCAATAACGTGAATGCTTTTTTCCTCGGAGTCATCGTCACGTCAACACCTGTACACACCACGCAAGCCGATACTGTCCCAAGGATAATTGGAGATCTCGTTACTCCCTACCGGTAACTTCAATTTACGATCGACCGATAATGAGATATCGAGTTCTGGTTCTCCCTCTTCCGCCACGCCACGCTCCCACCCTCCAACGCGATCAACCAACCCTCCGTTGCCAGTGTCGTCAAAGCTCAAACTCGACGACGAGACGTATTAGATGTCCGTTACGTGCTTATTAAACGCTTTCTTCCTTCTTGCCTTTTTATCCTGGCGTGATCGTGTTTCCCTGTCGCCGAGGATCCTCCAGACGAGCGTCTTTGAAATCGAGATGGCAAGAATGAGAACTTGGCGCAGTACGAGCGGAATTTTAAGAATTTCACTGGCAACTTGCGTAGGAACCATAAAACTCTAAACTCTGAATTTACCAAGATTATTACGTAAGAATAGTTATTAATTTTTATGTGTGAAGTATGGCATATTTTAATTACAATAATACTACTTCTAATAGCTTGCAAAAAAATTTAAAGAGTATTTCTACAAATTCCTTTTTTATTTGAAAGGTGGATCAAATGTTGATTGATCGATTGATTGATTTTATAAGGATCTGTTATAATCATTGGTTCTAGATGAAATGTTAATATCTGAAGTTTTCGTTCAATTTGAGTCCAAACTCTTTTCCTAACCCTGAGACCTTAGGAACCCTGTTCCCAAACATCTAAAAAGTCCATCGACGATCAGAATTTCAATTTCCCACAGTGCGTCAGAGTTTTATCAAATATTCATACAGATCATTTAGCACGATATAGTTGATCATCCGCGGGAATAATGTTCCCACAACCAAGGGTGCCCGTAAGCCAATTAATCTGTTCCAATAAGTAACGTGTGGAGCTGCGAAGTTAAACCCTCGAAAAACGCATCGCTCGTTTGCCGCATAATGCTCGTGCAAGCATGTTCTTCTTACTGGTCATCGGCTGACAAATAGTTCGGTTAGCTGGGAGCATGGGGTTCGTGGGTAGACCCCATGCCGTGAAGTGGCACGCGCCGGAACATCATTAGGTGG